GGGAGGGACGGCCCCGCGCACGGAGGTGCTCGGCCGGCCGCGCCCCGGATCTCTCCGTCCCTCCCCGCCCGCCGCCGCGCTCACGGCCGCCGCTGCTTTCTTCCCCGCAGCCGCCCGGAGACCATGTCGGCGGACACCGCGAGCGGCCCCACCCAGGACCAGGTGGAGATCCTGGAGTACAACTTCAACAAGGTCAACAAGCACCCGGACCCCACCACGCTGTGCCTCATCGCGGCCGAGGCCGGCCTGTCCGAGGAGGAGACCCAGGTGAGCCCGGCACGCCACCCCACCCCCCAATCCGACCCCTGTGGCCGGGGCCGTCTCCCGCCCGCGGGGTCCCGCTCGTCCTCCCGCGATCTTCCATCGCTTCTGCCCGCATCCCGGGAGCCCGGACGCCGCGGCGCTCCCACCGCCGCATCCCAGCGTCCCGGCTCCGCGCCCCCCGTCTGCCCCTCCAGCCCCAGCCCGCGGTGGCTCCCCCAGGGACTATTCAGAACTCTCACGATCACCCTTCCTTCTCCGCGCTAAGGTGCTCTCCCCGTGGCCCGGGAGAAGCGCGCTATCCTCCCTCCGGCTCGGGAGCCGCGTCCCTGGTCCGCTCTCGCCTCGCTGCCTCCTCCTTCCCCCGGCTCAATTTCTCCCCTGGGCTGTGAGCGAAACCTTCGGAAGAGGTGCCTTGTGCGCTCTCTGAGCCCCCCGCTCTCCAATCTTTTCTCGAGGGAGAGTGTCAGGGCTGGAAGGGACTTTAGCGATCAGTTGTAAATTCAGTCCTCGGTTTGTCAAACGAGGAGCCTGAGGCCAAGAGGGAGAGAGTTGCCAGGACGGCAAGGGTATAGCTTGCTCCTTGATAGCTTGCTCTTCCCACCATAGCACGCTGCAGCTTCCCCTTAGCTGCAGACAGCCAGGGAGATTTCACATTTTAAAAAATTCCCCGGGCTCTAAGATGTAGTCTTTTTTTTGGAGTTTTCCAAGAAGGAAATCATCTGACATCACAACTGAAGGGAGTGGAAGCAGATGTCCCCTTAAGTGCGCTGATTTTTTAAAAGCTCCTATGTTATTCCGAATATTGTTTAGGGTAGAGAATGCAACACTGCCCATGATTACTAACCTCCAGGTGCAATGTTGGCTCCTTCAGCTGACTTAAAACAAACAAACCAACCCTATCCAGAGTTTACCCTGACTTCTATTTTCCCCTTGGTCGTTGAAAGACAATTAGTTATGCATGATAATACTATTTGGAACTGCCCTAGCATCTCTCCCACGGGAGCCCAAAGCACTTCCACACCTCTAGTCTCAGCTCTAAAGCAGAGATGTTCTCATTTTTCCCATTTTATAGACCAGAGCATCAGGCACTTTGGCCTCTCCTGACCTTGAACCATACTCAGCTGAGGCTTACGAGCTTGTAATGGGTGCTCCAGGATATCCTAGAACCAAGACCCTGGACCCCAAGCCTAAAATGATTTTTACTAATTAAGCCAGATGCACTTTGGAGAATTTGCCCATAGAAAATCCTCTCATTCCTAGGTCAAATAGAAAGTCAGGCATATCTGGTTTTAGCAAAGGGAACAGCTGTCAGACTAACCAGAACCAGAACTTAATGGAAGGTGATTTAATGTAACCCAAGTCCAGCAGTTCATGTTTCTTGGAACCCCCTGAGGAGGCAGCTTGCTGAAGCTTTCTCACTTAAAAGCCCACACTATATTTAGAAAAGAGGAGTGATCAGACAGATAATAATAACTTGTCATTTAAAAAGGCTGTGGGTTTACTGTGGGCACAGTACCAGCTAGGGGTCTAAGCTCCTCTCAGCCTCTGCTTCTCCCACGGTGAATCCCCCTTACCTGTGAGGCAGAATACTTATGTCGCCCTCTGTGATGGCCGATACTTGCCAGGTATTGTGCAGGGCACCCTCCAAGTAAATCATTTGTCACACCAGGGCTATGCGGTAGGTAGCATTAGCCCAGTTGGACAGATAAGAGAACCAAGGCACAGAAAGGTTGAATAACTGGCCCAAGGCCACAACTAGGAAGTAGCAGAGCTAGGATTTGAACCATGGCAGTCTGGGTCACAATCCAGACTCCTCTCACTACCTTGTTGTCTTCATAGAGAGAAAGAATGGGAACAACTAGGGGATGGAGGGGATGACTGAACATTCCATTTCTGTTGTATTTTTTCCCAGAAAAAAAAATACATGTATTACATGACAGCATCCCAGCTATGTTTAATCTTTTCTTGAGATTCACCTTCTATTAAAGAACTGGAATGAAATCAGGTGAGGGGCAGGAAGAAAGGGCGCCTGATTCTTTTTGTGATTGAGGTCCACCAATTCAGACTTCTGACAGCAGGTTCACCTGTCCCCCTCCCCCTGGCAGGCTCTTCCCATTGCGCCTCTGCCATTGTCCTCAGATGAACAAATGATGGATGCAATCCTGAAATGAGTGGGTGTAGGGGTGAGTCAGCCTCAGAGCAGGGCCCCTGGCTTCCTTTTCCTGCCATGGGGCCAACACCTTCCTCTCTGAGGCTGCCATAGTTCTGCTTGCCCCTCTGCCTTCCTGTGTAGGCCTGCAGGGAAGCGTCAGAGACCCCAGAGCTCAGAGGGAGGCCAGGTTTAGCAAGTTCAGGGGAAGAAGCTGCCTCAGGGTGTCACTCCTTACTTGGTTGGGTCCCATTTTCCAACTTCCCATCCTTTCCACCCAAACTCTTTTCCAGCTCACCCCACCCCCATGTACACTGCTTCGTAAGAATGGTTTCTTCTTTAATCTTCTCAAGCAACATATATCTATTTTAGAGAGCGGGAGGGGCAGAAGGACAGGGAAAGGGAGAGAATCTTAAGCAGGCTCCATGCCCAGCGAGGAGCCCAACGTGGCGCTCGATCTCACAACCCTGAGATCATGACCTGAACTGAAATCAAGAGTTGGATGCTTACCCGACTGAGCCACCCAGGCGCCCCCTCAAATAACATTTATATTTTTGAAAGTGTCTTCTGGAGATCTAATGGACAATGGTGAACTTTCAGGCATAAATAAAATTATTTTAATTTATAGCAGGCTTTGCAGGGCGTCTTCAAATAACTCCAGGAAGGCCAGGGTCTGCTGGACCTGCGTAGAAGCTGTGCCTGGTATCAGCACATCCCGTTTCTAGTCTCTATCTGTGTTGCCCCTTTTTCACAGGGAGAGATCTCCAAAGCCAAAATAATATTTATTTCTTATGCCTGATTCCTCACCCCTAACACCGCCCACCTCCAGGATTGGAGTGATATTCTTCATTGTCCTAGAACAAGTAATACTTTAGTAGAAAAAAATAAGCACGAGATGCTCCTTTGAGATAATGAACAAGAGCTGATTCACATTGCTGATACTTTGGCAGGGGCAGGAGGGACTGGAAGTTTGAAACATTCTCTGGGGGCTTTGATGACCTCTTTGTTACTGTCCCACAGTAGGACAGTGTTCTCTGCTATTGGGGGGACACCTGTAGGAACCGGGAGTGAGGGGATCAGAGCTTTAATGTTAACTTTCTAAGTTGCATTTGCTGGGATCCTAGAATGAGTTCTTTTTTTTTTTTTTTCTCTCATGACAGTAATAAGCTATCTCCTACATTTGCATTAGATAAACCTAGATATAGATAGACCCAACCCCTGTGTATTTTATTATTTTGAAGTCAGTGTTAGAAGGGGCTGGGAAAGGTCTTTTATCAATCCCTGGGGAGGTTGGGCAGATCTGGCATTTTCTAGAATCACAAACTCAAGCCCCGTGTAGCCAGTGTTGGTTCCCAGTATCTTTATCTCTTCTTAATGCCCTGGGACTATTCCCAGAACTCCGTGGTTTTAGTTGTTGGACGTTTTATCAGTGGAATAAAGACCTCTAAAGGTCTCCCCCTGAAAAGAATAAAATGTTAGCTACTAGAGAAAAGGACAGGAACAATGTTATTTTGCCTCCAGCCCTCCCCATCACAGTGTCTAATTATCATCCGTTCACTCAGAGTAAATAAATCTCCATCAATGGGGTGAGGTAATGAGGGCATTCATTTATAAGCCAGTGAGGGATGAATGTCTTTCTCAGGGGATGACTGAAACAAGGAAGAGAAGAATAAAGCCAGGTGGAAAATTCGTACTGATGTGAGTGAGATGTGATAAGATTCAGCTCTGGAGGGGAAAAGAAGCAAGCAAGGTGTTTAATGGTTTTTGTTGGACAGCACCTGGTTTGCCAAACTGTCATATATACATACCTGATTTAAAATATGTATCTTTAGAAAATCGTTCTGCTTTTCTTGAATTTCGTCCCACCCCCCCAGCACTAGGGCTCACCATGTTAGGCATTTGGACGCCAACTCTCCAGTTCACAAATGTGGTCCTCGCTGAAGTTATTTTTGGTAACTGTACATTAATATTCATTACTAGTATAAAGATATGGGTGGCTCTTCTGAATGAGGCCAGCTCAAGCATTTTGTCTTAAATGAATCCTGGTAGAAAATGAGACTTTCCTCCTCCAAGTTTTAATTAGTCAGTCTTTAAAACTTTGCCATGTATTCAGCTCTAGTAACTGGAAGTCCTATTGAATCAGACCTTGTAGTCTCAAAAGCCCCTCGGAGCTACCTCGTTAGTGAAACTGGAACCACACTGCTCTCACACCAGACTCCAGAGTTACCGAGACACACACGGATTACAGAAGAAAATGCACCTGCCTTTAGCAGTGGAACTTTGGTTAAAGCCACCGAAGTTAACGTGAGCTCTCTTCTCCTTAGGGCTAGTGATTTCCAGGAGTAGAATATGGCACCTGGAGATCCACTACCCCAGACAGGTAGTCTGCTGCCCTTGGCTTTAGGTTATTGTCTCTGTTGCCACCTCACAGTACAAGACAACTGACCTTGACGGCCACGTAAGGCATTTCAGTGTGGAAACTCTGTTACAGTTACGGCAAGTTGTAAGTATGGTCCCATGCTCTTTAGCCAGCTTGGCATTGGTGTAGAGCCCTAAATGGCCCTTTGGCCCCACTCCCTTCGGGCTCTACAGACCTCGATCCCTAGAAGCACTCCTTCCCCGTGGTTCTCACCCTTTCTTCTGATCTTGGGCTTAGGCTGCACTGCCTGTCATCTCCCTAGATCTCTGCAGAGATGAGACCTTCCCCAGCAGGACCCTAGAGTCCACCCTCTTTGTCCCCAGGTTGAATCTGCAGCTGGCCATACTAAAGTCAGGGCCCTCTGGATGTTTCTAACCATCTCCATCAGCACATCCCAGGTCTGGGGTCCATCCCATAGCTGTGTTCTTTCTGCTGCTTTTCTGCCCCCATCATGTGCTTAGCTCTGGAATAGGTGAATTCTAAAAACTCCAGAAGGGACAGTAGAGACCCCCTAAGCTTTCCTTTTCAGGTACAGTTGAGCTGACTGGTGCTGTATTTAAGGGGTTTCTTCAAGTTCCTGTAGCCAACTGATCACCATAGAGCTTCCTACTGGCAGGGCCCAGGACTGCAGAGTCCCTGGTGGTCACCTACCCACACAACTTGCCTGTTTGTCCCAGTGTGACATGAAAATATCATCATTCCCAATGTTTGCCATGATGTGTGAAAGGCTGGGAAACACAGTAGAATAAAGCCTGAGGTCTGACTTCCCACAGGGCCCTCTGACTCATCTTCTCCCATGAGGATCAGTGCCTGCCTCTTCTGTTTTCTCACTAGTCCCTCTTCAACATTGTTTTTTAAAATCCCCAGTTTCCTCCTGGCCGACCTGATCCACACCCCAGCCTATTCACCAGCGTGGGTCTCCTTGTCTCCCGTGTGCAGAATCCCCACCCCTCGTAGCATAGTAAGGGCAGCCCCATGACATATGAAAAGCCCACATGAAAAGTGTTTTAGCCCTCACAAGGTGCCATGTCTAGAAGCATCCCATCTGGGGCCTTCCCTAAATCCATGGTCTCTTTTGTGGGATGTGACTATTTGGGGCATAGAGAGCTAGAAGATTCTGAGTAAGCTGGAAGGCCCACTGTTTCTTCTCTCACTGCACAGCAGCCCTGCAGCAGGAGAGTTTGGGCTAGCCTGCCCCATAGATTCCCAGGAAGGAGTGCCTGGAGGTTGACCAGGCTCAGTTTTCCATTCATTTTACTTAACAAATACTTACTAAGCACTACCAATGACCAGGGCCCTGGATGAGATCACCACACATTGGTGAGACATAGTAGCCATAGAGCTTTATCTGGGGCATCAGGGAGATGCTTCAATTTCTTTCATTCATTCAACAAACACTGATTAATCTATGTTATCCCTTGTGCGAGGGGCAAAGGATGCAATCAGTGATGATAAGATGAATACAGTCTCTGCTTTCATGGATCTTATATTCTAGAAAGAAATGTAGACTAAAAGCAAGTGAATAAACATAGTAATTACAGATAGTAAAAGTTCTGTGACGGTAACAAAGTATTAAAATAGAGAATAAGGAGTTGGATGGAGAACCTACTTTAGGTTCTCACAAAGTGGTTAGGGAAGACTTGATTGAGAAAGTTCTATTTAAGCTGAGACCTGAGCATGAGAGGGAGATCATCAGATAAAGAATGAAGACAGAACATGCTAAGCATAGGAAATAGCATGTGCAAAGGTCCTGGGGCAGGGAAGGTAAGTGTCACTGTGAGAAAAACCATCCCCGTGGACACATTCCTTTCCGGTTGGGCCACAGGGGCTACCTTTTAGAAAAGGAAGGGATGTTCCAGTTTGCCAGTATGTGACGGGTAATTTTGCACATTTCCGTCCTCCAGAAATGGTTTAAGCAGCGTCTGGCTCAGTGGCGGCAGTCGGAAGGCCTACCCTCAGAGTGCAGATCCGTGACAGACTGAGGAGATGGTGGATGCTGGCAGCTTCCCTCCATGAAGACTGTCCGCCATTTCTCTCCTCGGCTTAACCAAGCTTTTTGGTTTTTCAGTGTAGTGCTGTGTGTTTCATTGTTAGCTGTCCTGCTATTTAACACAATGTTGTATTTTTTTTAATGTACATAACCAGAAAAGAAAGTAACCCTAGGAAGCTATATGTGGCTTCTGTATAAAGCAGTGGCTTGGCTGGGAAGTTTTGGGGCTTGCCTTTCCTTTTGGGTCTTGATAATAGATGGTGTGAAAATCATCTAAGTTTGCTTTTGACCATCACCTCCCAGTACCAGTTCATTTTTACCATCCATTTCAGAGTGGCCAAGGCCTCTGTTGAAAAGATAACACGAGGGGGAAGCATTTCCTTCTGATTCTACTTCCCTAAGTTGTTTTCCTTATGTTGCAGTAATACACTGAGATTGAGTGAGAATACAGAGGTATATTTGAGTCCAATTTCATAAAGCAGTTTCTTGGATTATTAGCTGCATTCACTTGGAAAGAACCCAGTTAGGCTGGGAGACAGAAACTCCAACTGGCAGAAAACCAAGTAACTAAGAAAAAGATCCACAGAAGTCTTCAATTTACCTTATTTAAATGTATTTGTTAAATTTATTTTACTAAACAAAATGAACTGCTTTTTGTCTCTGAAATGATATTCTAAATAAAAACCTTTTTTGTTGAAAATGCACTGGGTCCTGTGCAGATTTTTAACTGAATAATACATGTACCAAAGAAAAACAGAATAGCTCCAACATAGGAGCAGACTGACAAAAGAGCTGTCATTTTTCAAATCCTTGCTACCAAAGTGTGGTCCCGGACTGGCATCTGAGAAAGGCAGAATCTCAGATTCCAGTCCAGACTGACTGAATCAGAATCTGCATTTTTAACAAGGTCCCCAAGTGTTATATAGGGAAGTGTGAGCAGCACTGTTGTCTTACAGACCCGATAGGCAGTTTGCATCCATCTTCTATTATAGCACATTATTTTTTTAAGAAAGATTTTATTTATTTATTTGACAGAGAAAGACATAACACGAGAGGGAACACAAGCAGGGGGAGTGGGAGAGGGAGAAGAAGGCTTCCCTGATGAGCAGGGAGCCTGATGCGGGGCTCGATCCCAGAACTCTGGGATCATGACCTGAGCCGAAGGCAGATGCTTAACCGACTGAGCCACCCAGGCATCCCCTATTATAGCACATTAAATGTCTTAATGGTCTTACTAGTTAAAACTGTGTTTGGGGCACCTGGGTGGCTTGGTCAGTTGAGCGTCCGACTCTGGGTTTTGGCTCCGGTCATGGTCTCACAGGTCAGAGACAGAACCCGAGTCAGGCTCTGCACTCAGCGGGGGAGAGTCTGCTGGATGATTCTCCCTCTACACCTCCCGCCCCCCCCAAATAAACAAATAAATCTTTCCTTAAAAATTGTGTTTCACTGCATGGGACAATAACTTGATCATAATGGATTAACCAAACAGGCTTTTTGTTTCTTTAATTGGCTAATTGTTTTTACTTGAGGCATCAGCAGGTAAGTGTCTCTCGAATGTTGTCAAGGATCTATGGTCATTCTGTCTCTTACTTTGCGATCTTTAACTTGTAGCTTTTGTGTTCATGGATACAAGGTGGATGATTGGCCATTGAGTCTACATTTCAAGCAAAAAAAAAGGGGGTAGGGGAAAATGCCAGCAAAGTCTCTGACCTTCAAAAAAAGTTTCTTGGAGTCCCTCACCCGGCAACTGTCAACCTACATCTCATTGGCCAGAACTGAGTCCCATTACTATTCCTAACTGCAAGGGAGCCTAGGAAAATGAATATTTTTAATTGGGCATATTGCTGCCTTGAGCAAAATCAGGGTTCTGTTGGTAAGAAAGAAGGGGAGAGGAGCACCTGGATGGCTCAGTTGCTTAAGTGTCTGCCTTTGGCTCAGGTCATGATCCCGGGGTCCTGGGATTGAGCCCCACGTTGGGCGCCCCACTCAGTGGGGAGTCTGCTTCTCCCTCTCCCTCTGTCCCTCCTCACCCCCACCCCCATGCCCCACTCATGCTCTCTCTCTGGCACTCTCTCTCAAATAAGTAAAATTTAAAAAAAAAGGGGGGGAGGATGGGTATTAGAAAGGCCACTAGCAGTGTCTGTCAACCCAGCCTGGAATGACACTGTCTACACTTTTTTTTTTTTAAGTGGTCTCCACACCCAGCATGGAGCCCAACACGGAGCCCAACATGGAGCCCAATGTGGGGCTTGAGCTCAGGACCCTGAGATCAAGACCTGAGTTGAGATCAAGAGTCCGACGCTTAACTGACTGAGCCACCCAGGCACCCCATCACTGGTCTACAGTTCTGAACTCTGACCTACGATGCAGGCACAATTTTTTTTAGATCTTTAAAATAAAGAGTCCAGAATAAGAAACACTAACAGGTTATTCAGAATACAAATGTTTACAAGAACCCATTAAACATCATTGGCAAGCTTCCTCTCCCTATACCTTAAAACATTTCTTCTGTAAACAACACACAGTGACCCAGGGTCTGAAAGAATAACCTTGTTGGACATGCTCCCCTGCAACCTAATTAGAGGTGCCCTGAGCATCTCTCAGCACCCAGGGCTGGATGCTGACATCACTTTCCGGAAAGAAAGAAGGGAAAAGGTGAGACGAGGAAGGAATGTGTGCCCATAATAAATATGTGCATAGAGAGAACGTTCTTTACCTTTCAAAGCACTTTCATAGACACTGGCTAACAGGGAGAAAATAACTGGGCAAGGCAGATGGCAGAGCACAGTAATTTACCCATATCAGGCCCTGAGAGAGATGGTAAACCAGGTCTAAGACCCACGTCAGATGTCTTGCGAGCACACCAGAGACATGTTTCAGGAACAATCCATCCAGGACAAGAAGAGTTAACCAGCTGGGCAGAGAGTGCCTTGGGACCAAGAAACACCGTTTGTGACAGAAGGATCACTTCCTGAGCTCATCAGGCCGAAGAGTCAAGAGTCCTTGACTGGCACACGCTGGGAGAAAATGAGATTCTGTGTCCTTTTAATTAATTAACTGGTTTGTTTAAACAAGTGCCAAGTTTTGTATTTATTCATTTCTTGCATTTGAAGTACTCCTTAATGACGTCCTTGGCTTGAGAGTCTTTGCTGTCGTCCTTAACTACCACCCAACCACAACCCCCATTTTCCGGTTTTCCCTAACAGTTTTACAGAAGCCTAGCCATTCCCCTAGTGTGGTGCTGTCATCAGCCTTAATTAGGTGCAAAGGGCCACCACCAACCTGACACACACAGGCTCATCACAGTCAGATGCCAGCACACAAAGATGGATGGGCTTGGCGTTTGCCTTGGACTTTGGCAGCTCAGGCATCCCCGTGGTAGGCCTTCACAGATGAGGCGGGTCTTCAGCACTCCTGGTACAGCTGACTTAACCGCTATTACATGGCCAGCTGCAGGGCCTTCCTTGCCCCTGCTGGCGGGGGACGGGGTGAAGGCGAATCTCGAAGGCTCAGCAATGGCAAGGAAGGAGCCGGTGGCCTTTTCAGTGTGGATTTGTTCACAATACTAACCTTCCTGAGTTGACTTTTTCAACTGTAATATTCACAAGGATGACAATACTCCACCTCGAAAAAAGCTCTTTGTAAACAGGAATAATAATTACTACTGCTCAAAGTAGTAATGAGAATGGGACAAGGATCATTGTGATGCCTGAGAGAAGTCTTAAGGAGAACGCAGAGCCCTACGTTTTATGATCAGGAGTCTCTTCTGGACACCCAGGGCCACACACCAGAGTAGTAACACCCACCCCAGACCGAGAACAACTGCCCAATCCCTCTTTCTTCCCTTGAGTCCCAGTTCTGCTGTTGCAGATGGTACTGACTGCTTGGATTGATCACTATGCCCAGCCCCTTTCTCTCTTGCCACCTTTCTCTAGCAAGGCTGTAGAGGCTAAAAAACGGAAATACTACCTTTTGGAAACTGTGGTGGTCTGGCGACATGGTTCTGCCACAGAGGCTTAGGATGAAGACCTGGGTGGGTGTGGGGAGGTGGGAGGCTTTGGGAAGGGGGTTCGCATTTCCTGGTAAAGAGGACGAGGGCAGCAGGCTCTGTCTGTTTTTCCTTGCTTACCTTGAACCAGTTTCATTTGTTAATTGTAGAACTAGAGATAAGCAAAAAAGGGAAACAAAACCAACAAAATCCATAACAATTACCCATGATCCCACTACCCAGAGGTAACCAGTATAATATATTGAGGGGATGCACGTTTTTGATGTTTTATATCAAAAGTTCCCAGGACCCCCTCCTTGGGTGTGATTAATTGGCTAGAACAGTTCACAGAATTCAGGAAAACAGTTTACTCACAGGATGACCAGTCTATTATAAAGGATACAGCTCATGGAAGATATGAGGGTAGGGGTGCTGAGCTTCCACGCCCATTCTGGGCACACCACACTTCCCAGCACCTCCCGGGAGCTCTGTGAATCCTGTACTTTGGGGCTTTTATGGAGGCTTCCTTATGTAGGCACGATTGATGAAATCTTCAACCTTCAGGAAAACTGTAGTCCACAATGGCCTTGCCTTGGTGATCCTTCAGGGGATGGGGAAGGAACTGCTGGAGCCATGTTTGTGGCACATAGTGGACTGAAGAAATGTTTGTTTCTGTCTGCTCTCTTCTTGTAAAGGGGTGACAGCACCCCTTTACGTTTGGGGAGCTCCTCCCACTTTGTGTGATCCTGGTAGAACAGTTACAACACCACACATTCTCCACCCCGCTCAGAATGAGACCAGGACCCAGGCTGGCTGATCACAATGCCACACTGCACACAGTGGGACTGAAACAAGGTACGGGCTCTTGACCTCATGTGGGCCAAAGGCCTTCACCAACGTTTTCCCAGTTGGAACTGGAGGGGTAATTCTCTATTGTGCGCTTGCATGGAGAGTTAGGAGGATAGAGGCCTGGGGGTGCAGGCAGCCATCTACCCAACCACATAGAGAAGGGCTCTCTGTCGTGGAAGAGAATGAAGCCAGGCAGAGATGGGAGTTTCAAAGAGAAGAGAAAGAGAGGTCAGGTCCTGAGGCTCCGGTTCCCACTCTTCCCTTGGGCTAGCCCAGCCTTCCTGGCTCTGTAAACTAAGGAATGCTCTTCTTGCTGTGTATCTGTCATTTGCAGCAAAAGGAGCCCTGACTAATGTCAGAGTAAAGAAAGGAAGAGAGGAATGCATGGAAGGAGGACTTTTAGCTACTAGAGTAATTAAGAATCCAGGAGAAGCAGGGAATCCAAGCAAAAAAAAAAAAAAAACAACCAGGAATTTACAGGCCAACAAACCTTGGAAATAGTTGGGCAGAGTACCAGATTTTTCTCAATTGATGGAGACTAGAGAAAAAACTTAGTTTTGCACATTAAAGGACAAGATGACAAGTAGATAATTTATGGACATCAAGGACATACTTCTTTGAACTGACAGAATGTCATGGGTGACATTTTGCTACTCTCTCTTAACCCTTGCCACCTCCACATAGAATTTTGCTCCACAGAATCCACTGTCCACTAAAAGGTCATTTTAAAACCTGATACCAACTCTTTCAAATGTATCCCTGACCAAATTCAATGCCAAAGTATCTAGCCATAACAATGGAAATACAAAAAATAATTTGAACCTTCACATTCTTTTCCCATGATGGAAGTACTGAGAGGTAGTGA